AAATACATTAAGTGAAAAAGCTAGGAAGAGAGAGAGAGGGAGAGAGAAGGAGAGAGAGAGGGAGAGAGAGAGAGAGAGAGAGAATCTCCCTTTATTTATTTATCAGCACAAATACAACATATTTGATTAGCACAGTTCACTCTACCTTTTGTACCTCCTGACCTTGCAAATAATGTGGTTTCCATCATGTGCATATTTTGATTCATACATTGCTTTGGTTTTTTTGAACTTCTCACCTTCTTTCTCCAACCACGTTTTTCTCAACCTTCCCTTTCTTCTTGACTCTCTTCCTTTACATGTTTGTTTTCTCACTTGATAGCTTTGTGATTCTCTATGACCAAAAGAACCATCACACAAGGTGTTGGTGTTGTTACTACTGTTATTATTTATTGCAGTATTATTTAAACCACTTAGAGAGGGCTGTAAAGCACTGTAAATCAGTATATAAGTCTAAGTGCTATTGCTACTATTCCTGAAAGCATTTCTTCTTTTAGCAAAGACTTTTCTTAAATACTGCATTACTACTTCATTCAACTTTATTGTTTCTTCTGATATGAGCCATTTTTTCACTTTTCTATCATTAACTGAAGAGAAGCACATAACCATTTTTGTTTTTTTTAAAAAGCATTTATTTCTTTCAATAACTTACATATTACCTATTATTTTTCTACTAGTGCTGTATGCCTTAAACATTATACATCTATTTCCCATTCTTTAATAAACATTCATTACACCTGTTCATTTACTTGCTGTAAATTTTCAATATTACATATAAAATTTGCAATTAATCCCATCGATTTTCCTTTTTAAACACAACCATTTTGTTTTCTTAATTGCTCATTTTTTGCTCTGACTTTCTTACTACATCATATAATATATTTAACATTCACTGCATAATCTTTCAGGCTTTTGGGCCCAACATTACATTGTCTGAATCAGAGGTGGGTGGCTGCCGGTTTGGCCTGGATCAGCTGAACTGATAGTAGCGGTGGTGGGAGGCTCCACCCACCCATCTGGACGCTTCTGTGCATGCGCAGAAGCATCGCGCATGGGTACTCAAAATTTAGCAACCCATTTCTCGTCTGAATACACAGTATGACCAGATATAGTTGCCCTGTAATTTCTAGAGTTTCTTCATTGCCATATCTTGTAACATTTGAATAAGAATTCTACCAAAATTGTTTCCTTATGTCTATTACTTAGTCCTTCTTAAGACTAATAATCAAATTAATCATGTTTTAGATTAATTCATTTTCTAGCTATATATGCATGATGATTCTTAAACTGTATAATTGAATGGTATTTCTTTTGAAAGAAATACAAATCATATTTATAAATTGTAAATACAAATATACAATTCTATTTCATTTTTGGATCTCTAAATAACTTGATTTCTTTTTAAAAAAATACTTTCATGTCCTATCCATCCACATATTTATATCATCTGTAGAGTATTTTATCCAGATCATAATTATTCAGAAGATTATACATTTTTTTCTTCTCAGAACTCATTGCTGTTCCTTCACTATTACCGTTTATTGGAGTGTAACATGCAACTATCCACAAGTTCCTAATTTTATATGCATGCACAACATTCTAGAATACATCAATTCATATTTTGTGACATCTGTTTTAATGCTTTATTAATAATTGTATAACCTATAGTATAAAAATGAAGGCCAAAGTCAGCTGGCTAGTGCGCATGCGCACTGGAGCTGACAGGGCAATGCCTTGCGTGCCCTAAGAAATGGCTCCGCATGCCACCTGTGGCATGCGTGCCATAGGTTCACCATCACAGTCCTATACCTTCACTTCCATTCATATTTCATCAATTGCATTCCACCAAATCAGCTGATTTTTATTCAGATTTATTACATCCTTCACTACACAATATTATTTATTTTCCTTTCTTTTGTCTCATTTGTTAATTTATATTCCTTAACATTACTTTTGGCATAAGAAAGGCTTAGTACCAAAAAAGTGAGGCCTTTGAACTATGGTGCTGGAGAAAACTCCTGTGAACTGCAAGATGATCAATCCTAGAGGATATCAACGCTGACTGCTCTTTAGAAGGCCAGATCCTGAAGATGAAACTCAAATACTTTGGCCACCTAATGAGAAGGAAGAAGGACTCACTGGAGAAGAACCTAATGCTGGGACAATTGATGGCAAAAGAAGAAGGGAATGATAGAGAATGAGTTAGCTGGATGTAATCACTGTAAGCTTAAATGGATTCCAGAGGATGGTAGAGGACAGGAAGGCCTGGAAGAACATTGTCCATGGGGTCGTGATGGGTCAGACATGACTTCACAACTAACAACAACAATAACAACATTATTTTGCTTACATTTCATGTTGCCATCTTTCATATCTAATGTCATCAGCAGCTTCCTCCTTGCACTTTGATTTTCATCACTTATCACTCACTCACTCGATGCCTCTTCACCCAACGTGGGTATAGGCGACTTCCATGGAAAGTTATGGTGATCCATGGAA